CCCCTGCCCTCATTTCTGTTCCTCATGATGTCTTTGATTTTTGAAGTGGACCTTATGCTTCTCCCACCCACCCCCATCTCTGTCTATTGCAAAGTCCCTTCCTTGAATACCCAGTTGGGTTTCATCTCCACAAACCTTTCCTAATCACTTTCCCACCACCATTTAGGTGAATGTGACTTTTCCTTCCATTTTTTCTGGACTTTTACATTTAACCTCACTTTGCCCTTGTAATCATTGTTATTTCTGTACTTGTCTGTTCCCCTGTTAGATTGTATGCTCCTGAAGAGCAGGGTCTGTGTTGTGTCTCTGTATTCCTAAAACCTAGAATAGTTCACATAGGAGGTGCTTAATAGATGTTTATTCAGTTGAATTAACTGGTCCAACCCTGTCATTTTGCAGATGAGGATGCTGAGGTGCAGAGAGGTGGGAGGCCTTTTCCAGGGTTACATGGCTAATTTGTGGCAGAACCTGGACTAGGACCCAGGTTAGTGCTAGTTCTGCTTCCCCCCACTTCCACTTATCTACTAGATTGTGAAGTCCTGAAGGGCAGAGACTGTCTGATAACTCTGTATCCCCCCTCAGCAACTAAAACATAATAAATGTGTTGGATAAATGAATGAAGTGACTCCTTTGAGGTAAGGCGTCCTATTAAAATGGAAATGTTTCCTTTGAGGAATGGTATTGACAGCTCAGTTCTGTAGCATTTTAAGGTTTATAAAGCACTTTTTTCTACAACCTTGTGAGGTAGGTGGTGGGAATTTTATCATCCTTATTTTGCAAAAGAGGAAATAGCCAATGAAGTGACTTACCCATGTACACCCAGCTAATAGTGGTAGAAATATACCCAGACCCCACTTCTCTTATTTCCAATTCTGTGTTCTTTAGACTGTGCCTAAATTTCCTAAGAATGATGACATTCCTGTGAAGTCCCATATCCTGTATACCCTCCAGCATTTTTTCTTTGCTTCTCTGAAAAATCATGAAGGGAATGTCAGTTGCCTGAAAGTGGCAACTGTTGCTAATGGCCCTGAGCGTACCAACATTTTCCCCCATTGAAGCTGCCTGTGGACAGAATATGAAAGGATGGACCTGAACCTCTCTGATAATATTTGGCCTTTATACTGAGATTACAGGGTTCAGTGTATTGGTAAATAGGAGAACAAGAAGTAGGTATGACCTCATCTTGGCAAACTAACTTCAGAGTCTAGTTACCTGAGTGGCTCTTTTTTGGGTGTCTTTGTTTTGTGTTCCTTGTGCTTTATGTACGGTCTTGTATATTAGGTTCTGTGTCTAAACTTTCTGGATACTTGGGCACAAAGTACACCAAAGTTTTGAGATATAATACATTCGGTTACAAGTTCTGTAACAGTTGCATTCTTAACAATATCTAATGTTTGTGTATACATTTGTAAGAAGGTCAAGGAAACCTATTTGGTCCATTGACCTAAGGCTGTCCTGAGAACTCCCACTACTACCTGAGCGCATCCAGACCACTGTTACGAGGAATTAATTAGAAAAGCACACAGTCATTTTAGCAGAGAATAGGATCCTGCAGAGCTGGGACAAAAGGGGGGTGAAGTTTGATCAGAATAGTAGGGAATCAGGATCTACTTGGTGGAGGTGGAGTCTAGTGAATGATGCAGTGCCATATTTTGGGCAGCGAGATTCAGTATGAAAGCACCACATTCTTGGTGGGAACACCGTGCATCTGGGGAGACCCAGTTTTTTCTAGGACCCGGAGTTGTGGTCCTATTCTGTGCTGTAGATTATTTGTATGTGAAATAGACCTGTGAGAAAAGTCCCAGAGTGACTTCCAGTGGCTTTGTGAAGTACATACTTAGAGTCAGTCTGCTCTTAAGTGTTTATCAAGTGCCAGATGGTATGAGGAAGGCAGGCCAGGGGTGGATAAGGGAATTTGAAAAAACTGTAGAAGGGTTCCAACTCCAGCTACTGGGTGCTTTGGATACTCCTCTTACCTGCTTGTGTATAGAGGAGGAAATAGGCCTAATAGTGTGACTTGTGAGATATTATGAAGGGCGCCTACTCCTGTCATTCCCTGGAAAATCAGTCAACATTTTTAAAATTTAAATTTTTTAGACACCAGCTACGTACCAGGCACTGTGCTAAGCACTGGGCGTACAAAAAGAGGCAGAAGATAGGCCCTGTCCTTAGGAGCTTACAGTCTAACAGAGGAAACAACATGCAAACAAATACAAAGCAAGCTATATACAGCATAATAGGAAATAATTAAAAGAGGGAAGGCATTAGAAATCAAAGGGGTTATGGAACAACCAGGAGGCCAGTGTTACTGGATTGAAGAAAATTGTATTGGGGAGTAAGGTGTAAGAAGACTGGAATGGTAGGAGTGGGCTTGGTTATGAAGGTCTTTGAATGCCAGACAGAACACTTGGCATTTGCTTCTGGAGGCAATAGGAGGCCTCTGTGTGTGTGTGTGTATGTGTGTGTGTGGAGGGGGGAGTTGGGTGGGGCAGTGCCTGGGAGACACATGTGACATGATAGGACCAGTCCTTTGGGAAGATCATTTTAGTGGCTTGATGGAGAATGGATTGGAGTGGATAGAGAGCCTTGAGTCAGGTTGACCCACCAGCAGGCTATTGCAGTAATCAAGGTGAGGTTATGAGGTTCTGCACCAGAACAGTAGCAGTGTCAGAGGAGAGGATGCAAAGGTGAAATCGGTGGGTCTTGGCAACAGCTTGGATGTGGGGGCGTAGAGATAGGAACCTAGGGTGACTCTTACACTGTAAAACCTGAGGAATGGACTGGGTGGATGGTATTGCCCTCCACAGTAATAGGGAAGGTAGGAATGGGAGAGGATTTGGGGGAATGATGAGTTCTGTTTTGGACTTACTGAGTTTAAGATTTCTGCTGGATGTTCAGTTTGAGATGTCTGAAAGGAAGTTGGAGATGTGCAGTTTGAGGTCAGTAAAGAAATTGGGGCAAGCAAGGTAAATTTGATGATTATTAACCCAGAGATGGTAATTCAATTCATGATCATCACTTGAAAGATCATCAGTTGAAATAGTATAAAGGAAGACAACTCAGGATGGAACTCGGAGAGTGTGGTTAAAGGGCATGAACTGAAGGAGGATCCAAGTAAGGAGACAAAAAGAGTAGTCACATGGGGTTAACCAGGAGTGAGTGGTGTCTTGAAAACTTGGAGAGAAAAGAATCTTGGAGAAGAGAGGAATCAGCAGTGTCAAAAGCTGCAGAGAGGTCAAGGAGAAAGAAGATTGAGAACAGGCATTTAAGAGATCATTAGTGATTTTGAAGAGAACAGTTTTGGTGGAATAATAAAAGTTGGAAGCCAGATTGTAAGGGGTCAAGAAGATAATGAGAGGAAAGTGGAGGCACCTAATGTGCCTTTTCAAGGTGTTTAGCTATGAAGGGCAGAGGTGATAATAGGACAATAGTTCTCTGGGATGGAAGGGTCGAGTGAGGGGTTTTTCCAGCATAGGAGAAACACGGGCATGTTTGTAGGCAGTAGAAAATAAGTCAGTAAAGAGAGAGATTTAAAGTAAGTGAAAGAGTGGGTATGATGGGAAAATCTGTTGGAGGATATGGGTTGGAATGGGATCACCTGAACAAATAGAAGGGTTAGCTATTTCATGTGAGATGGGTGAAGGGGGAGAGAGGGTTAGAATGCATCTGAGTGACAGGAGATGAGCATGTGGCAAATGGCCTCAGTTTTTTTTTGTAAAATATGAGAGGGTTCTCAGCTGAGAGTTGGGGGGAGGGAGACTGATGGGAGGTTTGAAGAGGGATGAAAAGTTTTGGAAGAGCCATTGTGGAGAATGGAATAGTGAGTTGATAAGGGAAGGCATAGTAAGATTGCCTAGCAGCAGTGAGGGCTTAGTTGAAGTTGTTTAACATAAATTTGTAGTGGACCCAGTCAGAATGGTCGCATGATTTTCTCCACCTTCATTTAGCACCATGTGTAGGAGCAAAGGCAACAAATGGTGGGAGTGAGTCCAGGCTGAGGCTTGGCTAGGTGTAATCGGTGATATGATAAGGGGGATAGGGATTCAAGAGAGGAGGACAGTGTAGAAATGAATTGCTTCACCGAAGAGTCAAGATGAGAAGAGGAGAGAGTAGCTAGTGCAGGAGAGATGGCCTGGGAGAGAATTGAGGGGTCAAGGGATTGGAAATCACAATGTGGATGAAGAGTAGGGTCATGTGAAGGATGGCGGAAGGAGAGGTGAAAAGCCAATAGATGAAGGTTGGATGAATTCTTGAATATGGAGGTGTTCCATTTGTGTGTGTTCGCAAGAACAAGGGTATGATAATCTTCGTGTGTGGCTGAGGTAGGGTAGAGGTGGCTGTTGTGGTTGTTTGTCCTTTGTTCTCAAAGAGAACCATGGCATCAGGAAGGTGATGCCATGACTTGCAAATGAATTGGATTTAAGAGAGAGGACTGTGCAAAGTCACCAGCCTCGGTTTCTCCTCGGGAGCCATCTGGGTACAGGGGCAAGATACAGATCAGGATTACTGGAGGTGGCCCCAAGGGTAGAGGAGTAGCTCATAGGAGGTGAGTGGGTTGAGGAGCTAAGTGGTTAGGGTATTTGAGGGAAGAAAAATTGTAAGCTAGGTATCTAACTCATGGAGGAAGGTAGGAGAATAACCTGAAGGTCTGTAGACAAAAGTTACCAGCTTTTTTATTGGATAGTGGATATGAATAGGAAGGAAGAGGAGGTTCAGAGGAAGAGAGGTTGCTGACTGATGAAGGAAGGAGGAGAACCAAAAGTGGCAATGAGAAGCAAGGAATATTCCAACTCCCATGCCTTAATTAGTGAGCTGGGGAAAATAATTGAAGGTGCAACCGGTACTGGAAAGAGAGGCCAGGAAGGTGGTGTCATCAGAGAAGGCCAGGTTTCTGTAAGAGCTGGTAGATGAAAGGAATGGGAGAGGAAAAGATTTTAGATGAAGGGAAGTTTGTTGCCTATGGAACAGGCATTCTAGAGGGCACAGTGGAAGGGCTGGGTGGAGTTAGGATGGCCTCTTAAAGATTCTACAATGTTAGAACTGTATAGGATCTTAGAGATGACCTAGTTCAACCCTCATATTGCAGATGAGGAAACCGAGGCATCAGAAGTGGAAATGATCCACCCCAAGTGACAGAACTAGTTAATGGCAGAGTTTAAATAGACGACCAGGTGTAGTACCTTTTCTGCTATCCCATACTTCGTGCCAGAAGTCAAGGGATCTGCTTTAAATTCTTATTCTGTTACTTAAGAGAGGATGAGGAGGCATCTGTGGCTCAATTTTCTCGTTTATAAAATGACAGGGCTGGATCAAATGAGTTAGGACCCTTACAGATCTAAACCCTGTGATACTGCGTAGGTTCGTAAACCCCCCGCCCACGGGCCATTGTTGTTTGAGGGCAAAGAGGGCCCGCCCCTCTGGTCTCTTCTGGCTGCTATTGGCCACCTGAGAGGGATCACCAATAGCAGCACAGCAGCTTGGGGCTGCCGCGCCCTCTAGCCAATAAGCGGCTCCTGCCTGTCCTCCGCGTTGAGTGTTAACATTAGCCACAGAGGCCGAGGTAATTTTTATTTCGCTTCAGTCCATCAGTCCCGAGTCTGCCAGTGATGCCCCGGTGGGGGGAGCAAGGAAGGAGCCGAAGGAGCTGTGGCCGGGTCCTGCCCCCAGCCCCACCTAGCCCTTTTCTCTGCCCACGTTAGAGGCAGGGCAGGTGACCCGGGAGTGACGGCCTCCCCCAGCCCCCTGTTCTTCCGCCCCTTTTCAACGCAGGCCGCCCTCCGCCCTGTGGCCCCTCTGCGTTGGGGCTTGCGGGGTGCGGAAGAGCGAGGAGCTCTTTGGTGGGCTTGGGGTGGGGACGGCGTGTGGTTCTGAAGGGCTTTTCTGGAGGAGGAGGCGGCGGCGGCCAAGCCCTAAGGACCGGGCCAGTTTGATGATCCGCGTAGATTCCGGAGCTGGAGAGACCCAGGGATGGGGGTGGGGTATCCGGGAGGGGCCGGCCCGAGCAGTGGGCAGGGGATAGACCGAGAGGCCTTGGGAAAAGTACCAGCAAAGTGAGGAGAAACTCCAGGGAGAGCTAGGGACCTGATTTATGGAGGCTTCACTTTCCTTGCTCTATTTGGGAGACAGGTTTTTTTTTTCCCCCCTCCATATCTCTTTTGGCTATCACATATGAACCAATCAGGACTTCAGGATGTTTAAGACTACAGGGCTTAGGAACGAGAGGTCTGGATGGACTCAGAGTAAGAGGACAAGAGTTTGATTATCATTTCTTCCTCTTACTGCGTATGAGACCTTGGACAAGTCATTTCGCCACTGTAAGGGGAAGGTAGATGAGTCTGATGGCCCTTCTGGATCTTATCTTCTGGCTTTGTCTTCAATGGCTTGGAGCAATCCATTCCGGAACTTAGATTCATCATCTAGTATAATGAGGCCGAACTAGATTTTTAAAAATCAATTTTTTTTAATTAAGAAAAATTTATTTTCTTTTCCTCTCACGTCCTCCTTCTCCATTTGGAAAAAAAGAAAAAAACACAAGTAATCAATCAAAATAAACGCTATCATTGAATATTTCAAAAAATATGTCTCATTCTGTACCCTGCATCATCACCTCTCCCTCAGGAGGTGATTTTTGAGAACCCTTCCAACTGACAATCTTTGATTTCTATCTTTACAGGTAAGGAAACAGAGGCTTGGAGAGCCTTTAGAAAAACCAGATGTCAGCTGATGCAAAGAATTTATTATAATTATGCTTTGGTATAAAAATTTTCATCCTATCTCTTTTCTTTGCCTTTCAGATTAAAAAAAAATTCGGTGCATCAGTTGATGTAGTGTAATCCTTTAATGTATTCTTGAATTCCTGTCCTTCTAGTGTTCAGTGATTTGCCCCCATACCAGTACCAAAGCCCCTGTCTTCTTACTAGGAGTCTAATGCTTCTGGCACCACACTATTATCTTTTAAAAGGGTGAAAATATTTTTTGTGCAAATACTCACGAAGTGGGTATGTGGAGTAAGATATTGGGGTCCAGTTTGTCCTCTGCCTCAGGATTCAGGTTGTATAAAAGAATCCCTGGGGAGAGACACCATGGTATAGTGGAGAGCAGGATGACCTCCAGTGCTGCTTCTGACAGATGTGTTCTTAAGTAACCCAGTGCAAGTCACAACATCTCTCTGTCCTTGGCAATTGTCTAAGACTAATTGGTCCCAGTAACTAACTCCCTCCCCTGCTAAAAATAACAGTTCTTTTAAAACATTTAAGTAATCCCCAAGACCTTAGTTTTTGCCTTCTTTAAAATGAGTACAATAGCTTCCAGGTCTAAAATTTAAGATCCCACAAACTGTATTCTCTTCTCTTTATTCACTGTGACAGGACAGTAACCTTGCTCATGCCGGGTTGGTGAATCTGGGTGTTCTATGCAGAGTTCCTGAAGACCCTCAAGTAAAAATAGTTATTGAGCATTTGGGGGCTATGAGCTTTATGAAGAGATGTAAGACATTCCTGGCTATGAAGACCTAATGGTTTGGGAGACGAGATGGAAATCTAAGAAAAGCTGAAGGCTATAGAAGAGATGTTATGAGAAGCACAGAATCACTTGTTGAATGAGTGGTTGAAACAATCATTACTAGAGGAAGAACTTAGGAAGAATCAGCAAAAGCTATGTAAGTGAAGTGATTTTTGTGTTGGATCTTGAAAGAAGGCTAAGATTTGGATGGTATTCTGGATTAAGGTAATTATAAGTAATAAGATCTTGGAGGCAGGAAAAGCTCAACTTGTGTTTTGGGGAATGGCAAATCTCATTAGATTTTAGTGTACTTGATGAAGAGGGATATTAGAAAAGATTGGAAAGGTGTGCCAACCCAGATTGTGCAAGGCCTTGAAAGCATGGCTGAATTTGGACTTTATGCTGTCAGCAAAGAGGAACTTTTGTAGGTGATGAGAATGGTGTTTGAGGAAGAAAATTCTGAGCATAGTGTGCTGGATGGATTTGAGGGAGAAAAGCCTTAAAGCAGGGAAATAGTTGTAGAAAGCTGGGTATAACTTGGTAAGGACTTGAATTAGGGGGTGGCTTTTGGAATGGAGAGGAAGGGATAAATGTGAGTGACCACTGGAAAGAATAGATCCTCCTTACAATGAGGCTGAGCCGTCTAAAGGAGAATTGTCAGATAGAGAGGCCCATAGGATGATAGATTTAGAACTGGAAGGGATCTTGCTAGGCCTGTTAATAACTGGTCTAAACTTAAATCAGATCTCTGATCTTCTATGAGATCTGTTCTGATTCTCCCAAGCTGAAGGTAACCTGTCTCACCTCAGATTTCTTGTATGTGTCTGGGACTCTTGTTTGCCCCAACTGCCTTCTACTTTATATCATGTTTATGTAAGTTATATTCTCTCATTAGATTATAAGCTTCTTGATAATAGAGGAGTGGGAGGAATTCTATCTTTGGTTATCCAGGTGAAGATTTGAGTCGAAGATTTGGGTCAAAGATTCAAAAAACTCTTGGGTCTAGAGAAAGCCTTTAGAAAAAGGCCAGTCAACTCTAGACCTGTGTTCTAAAATTCTGTATGATCCTATGCAAATTACTTAACCTATCCAGCCTCAGTTTCCTTATCTTGAAGATGAAATGATGGAAATGCAAATCATGATGCGTGTGCGTGCGTGTGTGTGTGTGTGTGTGTGTGTGTTGTGTGTGTGTGTGTATGTGTCTGTCTGTGGTGGGGGAGTGAACTTGTCCCCTGCCTTCTGGTAAAAAATAGGAAGGGGGTGCTGTTCCCTTGCCTCCCTAAAGGAGAAACAGTGGATAAATACTTTATGCCCTAGGGCTACTAAAGTAAGACCATCTGTGGGCTGAGAGAGGGCAAGTGAGCAGAACTAGTCTGGAAGGATCTGGAGCCTATTGAGCAGAAGACAGTCTAAAAAGAGGTAGATGCCTCCAGAGACTGGATTTGGGACTGAGGGGTGGTATGCTGGGAGACCTCAAAGAGGGCCAAGGAATGAAGAAGTTAAAGGAGCTGGCTCAGTTACCATTTGGACATATTCCCCAGGGATTCTTGGGAGTGGAAGGCCCATTACACAAGGATAAATAAGCTTAACCTTCCTAAGTGTTATAAAGTACAGTTCTTACAGGGCAGAAAGGCAGGGCATGATAGCGCTAATCAGAATGGTGAATGTGTGTAATGCTTTGAATTTTTGTTTTTCTATTCTTAGTTGATTTTTGTGTTATTGCTGTGAGTGAGGTAGGAGATTAGTTTTACTATCAAGAAATGAAGCCAAGTTCATACATCTAATGGGCATTAGGACTAGAATTTCGTCCTTGGTCTTTCTATGGACAATACAGCCTAACTCTGACATTCCCCAACCCAGGATTTGAGAGGTCAGCATTTGGCAGTCAGAAAAGATGGAGGGGATGGGTTGAACATGAAAGGAAGAGATGGGGCCCAGGAAGAGTGGAGCAGGGTAGAACCTGGAGTGTGTGGTATGAGTTGGGTCTGGGGGAGTGGAACAGATCTAGAACAGATCTCTTGAGAGGAGGTGTCCCCATTGGGCTAGGTTATCTTGGGAAGTGGGGAGAAGTAGGAAGGACAGAGTAATATGATAATTATAAATCAATGTATATAGCACTTTAAGGTTTACAAAGTTCTTTTCTTTACAACAAGCCTGTGAGGTGTGTAGGGCAAATTTTATCCCCATTTTATAGATGAGGAAACTGAAACCTACAGGGGTGAAGTAACTTGCTAAGTCATGCAATACTAGTTGGAATGGGGGAAGAAAATAGGTATTTAAATAATGCTTACTATGTGCCAGGCACTGTGCTAAATACCTTACAAAAGGCAGGTTCTGTAATTATCCTCATTTTACAACTGAGGAAACTGAGGCAAATAGAGGTTACGTGACTTGCCCAAAGCCACAGTGCTTTTAAGTGTCTGAGGCTGGATTTGAGTTTACTTCCTGACTCCAGGCCCAGCATTTCATCTATGTTTTGACCTAGCTGCCAACTCCTGGGTCCAATACTTTCCACTGTACCATAGTGCCTGGAAAAAGAGAGGAAAAAAAGATAGTTGCAGAGATCACTGGGGCACCTGGGTTGGGTATGTGAAGAATGTCTCTGCTCCACTTGTTGGTAAGCAATGTTACTAACTGTTAGAGAATCAAATACCCACAACTAGTCACTAAGCACTTGGCTAGGAGGCCAGTCCTGCTGGAGCAACTGTACGATTTAAAGGTGGGAGGGATCTGAGAGATCATTGAGTCTCACTTCCTTATTTTGCTGTTGAGAAATGGAGACCTAGAGAAGTGAGGAGACTTGCCCTAAGTCTTATGGGTTGGGTAATTAATAGCAGAGGAGAAATTTGGATAAATGTCCCCCAGGTCCAAATCCTTGGCTTTTCCCACAAAACCACATTATCTATGGTGAATGCTTTGTGCTGTGACCCTGTAAGGCCTTGTCTTAGATCACAGGTCCAGCCCAAATCTGGCTGCAACATATACTGTTGAACTAGGAGTGGTTTCTTTTTTACATTCTTAAGTAGTTTTGGCAGGTGGGATTTGATCCTCTGGCCAAAGTTTGCTGACTCCTACCTTATAACATGGGGCATGATTTGCCCAGAATTGAAGAGTTCATTTTGCAGTTACCCAAGGGTTCAGGCTCACTTGAAACCCTAGTGCCAGCTGATCCTTTGCCTTTATTCTTGGTGCCAATGAGAGGATCTTCCCATTAGCACAAATTAGAATTCCTGGAGGATAGGCTGGGCTGAGAGATCAGTGGAGTGAGACTAGTGGTGAACCTACATTGCTAATAGCTAAGTACAGAAAGCTTAAACAAGACCAAGTGTTTGAGTAGATGACATATGTGTCTGGGCTGAGTTTTTGCAGTGATGACAAATCTTACATGCCTGGTCTTTTTTCTTTTGGATCTGGGTTAATTTTTGAGGCCTTTTCCAGAATATTAATAATGATGATGAATATTTCACACTTATATTTCACTTTAAAGTTCTGAGCCTTCATTTGGTGTTTATCTAGGTTTGGGATTCAATGTGGGGAGTAGAGCATTGCAAGGGTTTGGAATATGGAGGTCGTCATGGGAAGGTGGGCAAAACCTTTGCGGCATACGTTGGGTACTGCTGATAGGCAGACTGGAAAAAAGCTGGACTCTTGGCAGAAGAAGAAAGCTGGTTTATAGAAAAAGGAATGTTTTCTGAGCAGCATAGGTCTAGAAATGGAGGAGGGCCTTTTTAGGTTAAAAAATAATTCAAAAGACTTTTAAAAATTCTCACTAAATAATAAGTTGGGGAGGGGAAAGCCTCCTTCCAAATTCCTAAAGTTTTATATTTCTTTTGCCAGGCTTTCACATTTGAGTATACCAAACAGTGACAATCAAGTTATACATAATACATTTTTTTGTTTCTAATTGAACAAAATGACTTGAGTCTTAAAGACCACTTAAAATTGCATATATTTAAAAATTTCCCTCAAATTCCTTTTTTTTTTTTTTTGGTTTAAAAGAAGATACCCACAAACTGTTTCCCCTGCAGTGGTTTTGAAACTTCTGATAATTTGATGTCTGTAGTGGCTGACATCCTGAGGGATGGGCAAGTTAGAACAGGGATTATTACATTTCAAAGTACTCTTCTAAGTACGATTTCCTCCACTCTGGTATGTTAACTTAAGGATGCCACCTATGTGGCATAGGCAACGTTGCCATTTTAGGGCAGGAGTCAGTGACTGGGGTCTAAGGATTCCAAGCAGGAAGGGTAGTCTGTTGTACTTCCTGGCAACTTTCAGTGTACATTTTTGCAGGTGGGAAAGGGATCATGGTCGTAGAGATTGGTCCATGTGCTATTGAAAAATTAACAAAAGGTGTGAAGTGTGTAGGGTAGAACTAGTGAGAGCAATCTTGGGAAGAGGAGTTGAAGGGATGGTCAGAGCTCTTCCTTCAGGAAGTGCATTGTGAGATTGTGGTGTTTAACCCTGCACTTGAATGAAGAGGCTATGGGGTTGTGTCCATTAGGAGCTTGAAAGCAAGGGAAACATCCTTTTGGGGTGTGTGGCCTGAAGGGCATTAGGAAAGACCAAGTATGGCTTTAGGATTTACAAGTCCTAGGGTCCCAGTACTGGAAAAGAGAAGGAGCTGGGTACCAACTGGAGAACAGAGGCAAGCTCCATAGGGTAGTGTTATCAGTAAGGGTCATTAACACCAAACGATAGCTAGCATTTATATAGCATTCTAAGATTTGCAAAACACTTTACAAATATTATCCCTATCTTCACAACAACCCTGGGAGGTAGGTGCTATTAACCCCATTTTATAGATGAAGACACTAAGGCAAATAGGCTAAACCAGTTTCCCTAGGGTTGTCAGAGGTCAGATTTGAACTTGGGCCCATTACTCTATCCACTGTACCACCTAGTAGTATTACTGAATAGATAAAAATGCTTGATGATTGTTCAAGGCATGAAGCATTCATCTGCTTATTCAGTAATAATAGTATAGAGGACTTGCTACATGCCCAGCAGTGTTCCAAACTTTGTGAAGATGCTAACTTGTGGAGTATTTTTCCCTTGTGCTTGAGAAACTTATAGTATCTGGTATAAGGCTGAACACTTAGTAGCTGCTCAATAAATACTGGTTGATTGCTGTGTAGATAAGATATACATATAAGA